GTCAACCTCCCTTGGGGTGGGTATAGATGGATATTTTTTGGAACTGCACGTTCTGCAAACAGACAGCAGTAACCATAATATACAGACCACAATTTAACCATGTCTATAATTTAAACTTCCAAACCAGCTTCATCTTTATAAACTTGATAACACTGCCTGAGATTGATCTAATGTGACTGGTGGCCATGTCATGATCAAGCAACTCAAAGCATTTTAATACAAGATGGTCTTGTGACCACACATTTTTGGCAGATTGTATGTTAAAGCCAGATTTGAAATGACCTTATGTTCTGAAAATTATTCCCTCTTGAAAAGAATTTCCATGTGACCAAGAAATTTCCTTGATACAGAATCCAATGTCTGGAAGAAAAATGTGGTAAGGCATACAGAGCAGATACATGTACCCAATAACCTCCATAGAGAAGTTCAGTGTTGTCCTACTTTTGCACACTCCAAGTCAGATTGGAATCTGTTCAGACTTTGTAGAACAAGAAGTTTTAAATCATTTCGTCATTTATCCATCTTCAATCATAAATTCTCTTGATCTTCCAAACTAAAATTTCCAAATTCCTTCATATTACCACTAGTTTCCCTTTCAAAAATAAATTTCAAAAATTATACAGCACACTGTAAGGGGATCCTGAGGGACACCCAAAAGTACATTTGGAGGGAAACTGTTATGTTAGAATCGTACATAGGGTTCATAACTGTAAAGTCAGCAATTTCTTATATCTCAAGTGAACATACCTCTCTAAACAATGAACCATAAAAAGGCACAAGATATGGAAAGTTAGAGTATATCGTCCTCATTAAGACATCCAATTCCTTTGAAACCAGCTTTCTTGAGTGAATAGCCCTCATTCTCTGTTTAAAGTGCATTGTAAACAACAAATAAACTTTAAGGTTAAAACGTCTTGCTTTCTCATGAACGGCATTAAAAAAAGCAGCCACAAATGTCTATTATCCACACTTATTTAAGATGTACCTTGACTGCCATAATGTGGCCCGTGGGCTTATGTATCATCCGGTACACCCAACCAGATCCTCCATGCCCAAGAACATTTAACTCTTTTAAATCCTCTACATAGCAATTAAAAACCTGCAGTAAATACAGAATGAATAAATTAAATTTTCAAACTTACTTGTACTAGCTGTTACTGACAGAAGTGTTCTTGGTTTTAGTACAATGTACATGTTGGTCACACTTTACAAACATGTTCTTGCTTTATTTACACTTGGTCACTTAGCAATATTTATCGCAATTGTGATAAATATTGTAACCCTAGAATGTATCTCTGCTTTGGAGAGCAGGGATGGTTTAGTGGTGAGAGATCTTGCCTCCCACCAATGTGGACCTGGCATGATAACTGGGTTGAGTTTGTTGTTCAGGTTCTCGCCTTGTTTCAAGGGATTTTCTGTAGGTTCTCCAGTTTTCCTCCGTCCACAGAAACCACCACCTCTAAATTCCAATGGGCCCTTTGCACGATCCGCTCACATGGTACGGAATTAATTATGCTGAGACACAAGTTACACAGTGGGACTTTCAAAATAAAGGAACTCGTACCAGTCCAGCCTGACTTTCCTTTATTTTGGAAGTCCCACTGTGTAACTTGCATCCCAGCATAATTTATTCCATACCATGTGACCGGATCGTGCAAAGGGCCTATTCAATCTGGAAACAGTGGACGAAGAGCCTCTCTGTGGGATGTGCCACTGCAAATTCCTATTGACTGATAGATTTATTGATTTACTGATATTACTGATTTGCTGATTTATTGATTATGTATTTTATTGATTTATGTACAGTGTATAATAAGTCATTTATATATTTATGTATTTATACATGTATGTATTTATGGAATTATTTTTAAAAAGTATTCGAGAGAGGGAAGGGCATTGTTCTACAGTGGTAATGCTATAGTGAAAACTATATTAAGCGGACACTCTTGGGACCCTCACTAGTGTCTGCTTAATACAGGGCGGGGGTAAACCTGAAATTTGCCCAAAAACTCAGTTTCTTGTTTTCCTTGGAATTTGTAGCTTTGGATATTTAAGTTTGCTATGGACAAATAATTTTCCACTGATTTTCATGTTTTTTATCTTTTTAAGCAATTTCAAAATTCCCACTCTTTCTAATGGCATGGTTACCATGGCAACGACAGTAGCATTTTTCTGTTTACCAGTTGTTTATAACGTTTATTCTGGCAATCAAGCGCCAAACGGGCAAGATTTAACCAGAGACACTTTATTAAGCCTTATTTGAAGTATTTCCCTCATATCAAACTCATTATGGGATTGATCCAGCGGCCATTTTGGTCAGCACAAAATCATTGGCATATTTCACACAGTGACATAGAGCTTCTTAGCATAGTAAATCAACATGAAAGTTATTGAAAATGGTCCGAGAGAAAGGAAGATCTGTTTACAGGAAGAAAAGAAAGGCAAATTTTTCCGGAAAGCAAAGACAAGAAGGAAAGTTCAAAGAACCTGCTCTTGTTGTTGATGAAATCACCTGCTCAACTCCAAGCACTTCTCAAGATGGAAATAAGCTTTCGGACTCTAACGAAACTGTTGGTTCTTCCAGAAAGAAAATGAAAATGGAGGCAAGATGAAGCAACAGGAACTTCAACATACAATGTTAATAACTGTTTGCCTGAGGTCTTTCTTGAAGTCTTGAAACCAACTTTTATGACTTTGAGGGACTCTAAATTGCTTGAGAGATGTGTGTTGGGAACAACACAACATCCCAATAAATGCATCAACTCCATGGTGTGGGTAAGATGTCCTAAACATAAGCACCATGGTGTTAAAGTAGTTCAGTGTGCTGTGGCATCGGCAGTCTGCCACTACCATAGTGGAGTTTCTAGTAGGCTAAATATTATGGAGAGGCTATCTATCCGTGGTGGTGAATGCACAAGAGAGGCAGCACATGCGAAAGACAGTAAACGGTTGACAAAGTCTGATTTGCAGGCTACGCAGAAGGAAAAGAGAAGACATCAAGGCAAACAACTTCTGTGGACTCATCAAGAAGAAGCCCTTCAAGAAGCTGAAGGAGTGACATATGAACCAGGAGGCTTTTAAATTACATTTAGACACTCCTGTGGTCAAAATACGGACACTAGTGCCACTATAATGGTTACATATTTTAAAAAATCAACTTTGATTGCTACCTGTAAGTTTAAGGTCAAGTTCCTCATTATGCAATAATTTCGTCTTCAAGAAAGGATATCTTGAGAACTATTTATCCGATTGATCTGAAATTTTCAGCATTAATTTTGTTCTTCTTGATAAGTTTTGTGTTATAGGCAGAGCAATTTTCCATATGATGTATGTACTTGAAGTTATCAAGTGAGACACCCCTTCGATTTCCTGTGTCAAGTTCAATCAATCATTATTTGAAATGTTTTCAACATTAATTTTAGAAATCCTTCAGCCTATAACAATAAGCAAAATGTGTCACTTAAAGTGATACAAAAAACATTAATTTTTATCAATTCCAGAAGGAGCTATGTTTTCTCAAGTAAGCCTTGGTAGAACCCAGCAGGTGGCAGAATTAAATGAGTGGTATCCTATTACAATTGACAAGTGGAGTGTGAAATATTTTTTTTCATGATAGTCAAGTCATAAGCTTTCCAGGAATATATAGTTTGCTTAACTTTTCAATTAAATCCCTGCTGTGAACAATTGTTAAAAAATGGCCAGTTTATTAGGTTTACCCCCGCCTTAATACAGGGTGTCTGCTCAAAACAGGCTCTAATATGTTGTGCAACAATAGTTAATTATGAACCCTTTTGTAATTCAGTGTAAGACAGAATAAGATCAACAACTGCTCAAAGCACAATGTCCAGTCACTTAAGAAGCTTTAAAACCACACCACTGAACAATGTTAAGGGAGTCTCAGCTGAACCTTTAGGGGTAAAAAGCCCTAAAAGTGTCCGCTTATTGCAGGTTTTGTGCAACAAAATGGCTTAATATTGGTGTCCGTGTCCGCTTAACAGAGGTGTCCACTGAATGCAGGTTTATTTTACAGAAAATGTGGGAAGAAAATTTAGGGACTCAAGCTGGTGTCCACTTAATAAAGGGTGTCCGCTTAATATGGGGTCTGCTAAAACAGGTTTCACTGTAAAAGAAAGCAGGTGGCAGATCAAAAATTTAACAAACAGTGATTGTATAAAAAATAAAAAATTAATAAGAATTTTACAAACCTCGCCCCCAATAATGAGTGTCCCATCACCACTACTTCCAGAACGAGTGGTCCTGAAAATACATATAATAATGAGTAAAGTTTTCTTTTTTGTCAGACAAGAGTATCTCTTGTGATGTGATCCTGTAGTACATATCATAAATGTTTGGTTTTTGCTAATTAAGCCAAGGCTCAGGATGCAGATTTTAAATATTAGGTTTAGTCTAGAGCACTAAGGTAAGTCAGATCTAAAGGAAGAAACAGTGAGGCTGGACCCAACCCAAAAACCTGAGGATTAGAAAGAAAGAACTGAACTGCTCTTCAGGTCTAAGCC